AACAACAACAACATGCTGTGAGAAAAAGATAAGGCTCTTTGCTCCCGTAAAGAAACCCTGCACAGGGTGGTTATAAGTCAGAACTAACTTGGTGGCAGTGGGTTAGTCTGGATACTTACAGAAAGTACTGGTAACTCCTACTTGCCCTTTAATGTTATGCTAATTTACCCTCACTTTCACTCAGGACACATTCTGCATCACAATAACCTTCTCTTGCTGCACTGGTTATCTTGTACTAAAGTAAGATCCAACCATAAACACCTGTTTTTACTTACCTACAAATCTGCATCAAAGACAAGTGTAGGAAGGGATCTTGTTCATAACCCAGGGGCTGTCTACAGACACATGGATTATCAGCACAAGTGGTTTATGAGATACAGAGGCTACTTGTCACGAAGGAAACACACGTCAGTCTGAGGATCTACAGTTAATCAGTGTAGGAAATGTTGAAACTGTTCATTTTCCTTTCTAATAATCGGTGATACTACTTACTACCTTCCCATTGAATACCTCAAAGATAACAGACAGAGAACTCTCAACACACTGAGTGGAAAAAGTACATTCAAATTTCCCTAGTTAGTTTTAAAACACTCGACCTCAAGATAGGTTGAACTTCAAAGTCGGCGGTTCAAACTCACTAGTCATTCCTTGGAAACCCTGTATAGGGTCACTATGAGTCGGAATTGACTAGAGGGCACTTGATAACAATTTGCCCTAAATGTTTTTAAATTTACTTAACTAATCAACTAGCATTTCCTGAGAGCCTATCACAGAGCTAGTTCTATTAGGCACTGTAGCATTAAATAACCTATAGACAGGACAATAGTGCAGTTATTACTTTAAAGGTCACTCTACTCCGAGGGGATTCAAAAAGCTCCTGGAAAAATTCCATTCTCTTTCAACTCCAATTTCCCACAGGTTATTTGAAGCACCCTCATTCAGAGTCATAAGGGTCTTTAATACGGTTTTCTGCTAGTGTCTATAGAGAGTCTCCAGTCACAGCATTTGTAACTATCGTGCCCTGAATGCCAATGATCACTGCATTTCCTCCTGGGAAATAAGGCCGCAGAAATCTGGAAAGGGCAGTTATTCTGTCTGTACTGCCACAAAGATGTATCGTCTGTACTATTGTTACCATGTCTGTCAGTAATAACTTTTAAAAATCATTGGTAAACTTCTTTGGAAACAATTCAAATAGAAGAGATAGCACTTTTCATGCCTCTCCACTCTCATAACCAAAATGTTAACAACAATACATTTCAAATCCTTTTATTTTCATGTATACACACAGAAACTCAAATAGTAAACATCATTTATACACACATACAGTCTTGTTTTTCTAAACACAAAATGATTTTAAAACAACAACTATAAACAAAGATGTTGTACATGGAGTCGATTACGACTCATAGAGACCTTGCATGGGGTTTCCGAGGTTGGAAATCTTTACAGGAGCAGAAAGTCTCATCTTTCTCCCACAGAATGGCTGGTAGTTTCGAACTGCTGACCTTGAGGTTAAGCAGCCCAACTTGTAACCACTACACTACCAGAGCTCCTTATAAACAAAAGTAACTAGCATAAAAGTAAAGTCGTAATAAAAGCAACCACTTACAAAAATGGTTTCCAGGTCCGGGGTAATGATGCCCTTTGTAAGCAGCCATTAGTCCTGGATTTATGCCAATCTACAGAGCAAAAAAAAAAAGTATACGTCAGTCTTATGGGAGCAGAACGCTTCATCGTTCTCCCAGGGAACTGTTGGTAGTTTCGAACTGCTGACCTTGAGGTTGGCAGCCTGACTCATAACCACTACGCTACCAGAGCCTTAGGATTTTTATGGGCAGGAGTGAACAAAACTGAATTTATGAAAATAGAAATTTAATTAAGCATCATAACCAATATTGTTTACTTGTCTACTCTTAATCAATAAAAGCATTCCACTTTGAGGGAAGTTGTTTTTGAAAAAACCAGTTTGACTACCTCCTATCCCCAAATCCTCTGTCCCCACCCGAATGGGCTGCCTTTAGTCTGGAGAGAGACTAAGGTGTTAGAAAAGTTCACATTTGAGTTCCTGCAGAGCATCAAGTCTGGCTGTAGACTCCTAACAAGTAGTTTACCCCACCTAAGCTTCACAGCAGTCCCCATACTGAGGTTCCTGCAGTTGCTGATGACAGTCAGAGTTCATACTAAGTGCCACCCTTTACTGATCCTCACAAGTGTCAGGCATACAAAGTTACTCACATGGATTATGTCACTTCATCTTTGCACATCTATGAAGAGCCCAACCCTACAGCCCACCCTTTTAAACACATAACACACCTTCAAAAAACTGACACCAGTAACCACACAAAAAAGGTTCGTAAATGGCTCATTTTCAGCAAAATGCAATTTACAAGGTAACTGTTAAATTAAGCTACTCCACCCATATGGTTTATAAAATCAAAGGAGAATTAAAAAAAAACAAAAACTTACAATCACAATATCCAGATTGAAGGTCAAGATATCAGGGAGAGTCTTGGTCAAAAGTTCAGCTTCAGAAACACCATTAAAACGATCTACTTTTCTTTTCACTTTAAACGTATCTGTAATTTTGTCTTGCTTTTCTTTTGATTTTGTGGACTTGCCAGATTTTTTTGGTGCAGCAGGTTTTTTGGGTTCCACTGGCTTTTTAGGTTCTGTTGTTCTAGGTTTTCTTTTTCTTCCTTTTGGAACCTCTGAAACACACAGTTTTCAGTATGTAGACTTGGGAAATCTTCACTTGATGCACAAGCTTGAGGCAGTTTGTCTACAGAAGCCACTCTCACCCCCACTTCCTTCCCCACTAAACACTGCTCTTCTAGTTCCCACCATTAGTCTCCTCTGCAGGAGCTCCCCTTCTTTCACCCCAGAATGGGTCCTGAGTGATGCAAACGGTTCAGCGCTCAACTAGTAGCTAGAAGGGTGCTGATTCAAAGGCACCTAGAGGTGGCTTGGAAGACAAGCCTGGCACCCTGCTTCTGAAGAGCCACAGCCTTAAACAGCCTAGTCAGCAGTCTTCCTCTCCACCCCCACCTCCCACCCTCTTGCCCTGCTAGCTGTTGTTGGGAAGAAATGCCCATAGTCACTAGATACTGATTTTCAAGGACATATGACTTGGCATCTGGGCCTCACCAGAGACACAAATCATCCACAAACCATTTCAGAGACATTCTAATGTAAATACTTAAATTGGTAAGGAAACAAATGAAAGAAAAAGGGAAAAACAGGAAGAACACCTTATAAGTTATTTTCCTAAAATATCCCTTTCCTATCACATCCAGTTGTTGTTGTTGCTGTTAAGTGCCACGGAGTCGGTTCTGACTCATAGTGACTCCGCAAATGGTTTCCAAGAAGTGGCTGTTGGGTTTGAACCAGTGATCTACGGTGAGCAGTCCACAGCCTAACAGGTGAACTCAGACATCGCTGAGAAGGAAATCTCAAGAGTAGCAGGATTTTTCAAAAAAAAAAGTCAAGATGAGGCATCCGACCTCAGGAGCTAAAGCAGAGTTTCTCAACCTCGGCACTAGGGCATCTTGGGCTGTACACTACAGTATATTGTATATACTACACTAGGATGTTTAGCAGCATGCCTTGCCACTAGCCACTACCCACTAGTTGCCAGTAACAACCTACCAGGTATGATCATCAAAAATGTCTCAGACAATGTCCTATGTCCTTTGGGGAGCAAAATCACCCCTGGTTGAGAACCCCTGACCTACAGCTTGGTGTTTTCCCAACTGAGCCTCCCAGGAATAAGGCTCCTCTCTTCTGCCTTAAGCTGATTGAGGGGCTCACTAAGGCTCACGGAGGGACTCTGATGGCCCAGTGGTTAAGCCCTCAGCTGCTGAGTAAGATGTGGCAGCAGTTTGCTTCTGTAAAGATGACAGCCTTGGAAATCCTAGGAGAGCTTGACTCTGTCCTGTAGGGTCACTGTGAGTCAGAATCAGTTTGGCAGCAATAGGTTGGGCTTTGTCTTTTTTTAGAAGGCAGCTTTAATACAATGGAATTAGACTGCAGTCCCTCAGAACATTCTAAACCAAAACTTTTGAGCACATTTCTCATACAAATAATGCTCTACTGGTGAAAATCATTACCTTCTCGCTACCTGTACTAGGTAGATAATGACATATGAGGGGGCTTCAAAAAGTTCATGGGCAAATGGAATGAAAAGATAATGGAATTTATCTACCAACCTTTTAAAGTTCCTTCATACAAACTGCTATTCCTCTCAAAATCTGTTCTTCCTCCTAATTGCCTGTCCTGGTGAATGGTACCTCCTTCCTCCAACTGTTTATGCCACAAACTTGGGGGTCAATTTCACACTCCTCTTTCCCCCTTGCCCTCCCCAGAAAACTCCCTTAACCTGGCCAGGTGGTTCTACCTTCTGAGTCTTTCTAAATCTGGCTCCAAGCTTTCTGCTGTTACTCGGGTCCTCCACATTCACATCGTCTTTCATTCACAACCTGCCACAAGCTCTACTTTACTCTCTATCACCCAGTCTATTGTCTATTTCCAAAAGGATCTTTTGAAAGCCATTTAAATCCTTCCTCTACTTACATTCTTTCAACGGTTCCCTAGTGCTTTCAGAAAGAATATCAACCCTTGAGGATGCATCAAACCAAACCCACCCCCTTGTCTAGAATCACCTCTCACCATATCCTTGCTGTACCCCAGATTCCAAACACACACACTCCATCTCAGACCTTTGATTGTGCCATGCTTCATGTGTGTGCCTTGGTCTAGAATCTTCCCTAGCTCCTTATTCATGGAGATAAAGTCTCCTCACCTGTGGAGTTTCAGAGCCCTGGTGTCATCTCTCTGCTCTGGAAAGCTGCCCCTGAGCCGAGTCTGGATTAGGCGACATCACCATGGGGTCCCAGAGCATCTGGCACCACTCGACCACACAGCCTGCAACGTGGGCCTCTGCCTTCTCCTCTACTAGGCAACCAGACAAGATCCAGATTCTTTTCCTCCCCAAAAGGTATCACAGTACCTAGGCACAGACTGAAGTACTGAAAAACCGAGCTCAGTGCCATGGAGTAGAGTCCAACTCACAGCGACCTGGGTCAGGTTTCCGAGGCTGTAAATCTTATAGGAACAGGACCTCTTTCTCCAGGGAATGGCTGGTGGGTTTGAACCTTGAGATTAGCAGTCCAGTGCTTATCCAACAGTGCCACATCAAGGTTCCTATGTACTTAAAAAGTGCTTCTAGATCATAAAAAAGGCCATGTTTACTGGTCAGACAGAAACTATTAGTAACCTGAGATTATGGCCCTTCACCCTGCAGCACAGCCAGACAATAAACAGGTCTATACGGGGAAGAGCAACGGTAGGGAGGCACGTACACCTCAGCGTATTTAATCATCTGAGATTTTAAAAAGGCAGCATGTACCTAAAGACAAAGTGTAGAAGGGCTGGGAATGAAGGAACGGAAATGGGAAACAGGGAGGAAGTAGGATAAGTGATGTTCCATTGCGGAGATTATGATCATTGACATAAAACAAAACCTGTCTGAACTGCTCAACACGTAACTGACTGGCTCCGTGTAACTCAATTCACAAGTCCAAAAAAATGCTCGTAAAATGAAGGGAATTTTCCACTTTCTGGATTAGAACCTGAAGGAAGTTTTCAGGTTTCCGGATTGGAACCTGAAGGAAATTCTTGAGTTTCTGGATTAGAACCTGAAGGATGTTTTCTATTTTGTGAATTAGAACATGAAGGAAATTCTCTGTTTTCTAGATTAGATCCTAAAGGAAGTTTTCAGGTTTCCAGATCAGAACCTAAAGGAATTCTTTGGGTTTCTGGACTACAATAATGTTAACTCTCAGAGACTTCACATGATGAAATGGGCTTTTACTGACTAGCCTGCAGGTCACTCAGTCTTGGTGAACACTGTTTCTAAGAGAGAATGTATCTCAACTTGCAAAAGTTTATCAATTAACTTCCCATAAAGAATCCACAGGATGATAAACTAATATTTCAGTGACTACTATGCACCTGGTATGGTGCTAGAGGATAAGCACTCGACCATTAAGTTCAGTCTGAATGTCAGCAGTTCAAACTCACCCAGTCACTCCTCAGAAATCCTACACAGGTCTGATAGGAATCGGGACTACTCGAAGGCACTTCACAACAACAACTATGCACCCACTAGCCTTTAGATGAATTCTCTCATTTAACTAATTCCACGATGTGTTAGTCATTGATTCATTCATTGTTCCTGGTGTGGTACTGTAGGATAATAAACTCTGGACTGCTAACTCCAAGGTCGGTGGTGCAAACTCACAAGCTGCTGCTTGGAAACCCTATACAGGGTCTCTATGAGTCAAACTGACTCACCAGCACTTAACAACAATATACTAGGTACCACTGGCGGTGCTGGAGATACGTTGAGTGTTGAAGCTGAATAGTCTTGTGTGGCAAAGTCAGGCAACAAACATATCAGCAGATAAATGAAAGAACTTGTCACTTAGAGGCTTTCAAGTTGAACTCACAGTGCCCCCATGTGTGTCAGAGCAGTACTGTGTTTCACGGGGTTTCCAAGGTCGTGACCTTTTGGAACAGACTGCCAGGACTGTCTTCTGAGTCACCCTTTTCACTGACTTGCCATCAAGTCAGTTCCAAATCATAGAAACCCTATATAGGGTTTCTAAGGAACAGCTTGTGGGTTTGAACTGCCAACCTTGTGCTTAGCAGTCCAATGCTTACTTATCTTCCAGCGCCACACCAGAACACCACTGACAGGATTTGGATAGAGGGAATGACAAGTTCTGACTCACCTTATTAACAGGTGTACTCCAGCTGCTGTGAGAATAGGCTCAGGGTAGAGTAGAAGCCAGGAAAACAGTTACGAGGCTACTGCACTGATTCAGGAAGGAGACAGTGCTTTGGACCCAGTGGCAGGATACAGATACTTAAGTTCAGAAAGGTTGTGTAACTTGCTCAAGATCAAACAGCTAATAAAAGACAAGCCTGTGTTCAAATCCAGATTTTCTTAAATAAATTGGCTAATCCAACAACGTAATTTTCTAAACTAACATTGTGAAAAGTACCTTGTCCAAGCTCCTGAGTAGGAGGAGCTGGGAGTGGGACTTCTGCTGGTATTTGCTGTTCGTTCATGGTTTCCACATTAGGAGCTTCAGCCATCATGTGTTGAAATGGGAATGTATAAAATGCTTGAGTCTGTAGAAGGGAATAGCTGAAAAAGAGCAATTCAGTATGAGATAGAATGGCAATAAAATATACTCAGATGTCAGCTTAAACCATCAGCTGTAAATATCCTTCAAGATCCAATACTCAGATGTCAGTTTAAATCATCAGCTGTAAATATCCTTCAAGATCCAAGTATTTTGTAATTAGATTGTAGTATGCATTTAGAACAGATAAAAGGGTAGGAGACAGGAGGAAGCTCTAGTCCTGTGTTTACACAATCACCCAGTCTTTACTGAGTACCTACTAGCCAAAAGGAATTAAGTCTCACACTGTCTATGACATGATGTATCATCAATAAAACTTACAAGTCCTGTCAAGTCACCTAGCACTTTCTCTGAAATGAGATCATGGGAATTTTCTAGCAGACCTGAAAGACCACAAGGCCTGCTAAACAGTCACAAATACAATTTGTACCCCTATCTTCAGTATTTCAACATCCTGTCCCAAAAAGCCTCCCAAATTATCTTCCATTCTATGTCTGTTTATCTGTTAGCTTTAATTTTTGCTTTTTTGTTTTAGACACTGAAGTGGGTATTCTGTAATCTGTTGAATTTATGAAGAATTCACTCTGAACCTTTTTTGAACATGATTTGAACTTTGTTCAGTCATCCAAAGTAAAGAACATAAAGCCTTCAAAGAAAACAACTCCCCAAAACAATGTTTTCTGATGACCATAGGCCATTTTTCTCAAGTTACTGCTACTAGCACAAGTTAGGAAAGAAAGCACTTATCTTAGGAAACGCAAGTGACAGCTAATTCCAAAGGATGCCATTAAATATATAGTAGAAAGACAATTTGAGGAGAAATGTCATGGTTTCAGTGGCAAGATGAGATAACTATTAGTTTTTATTATCTGTGATACACGGAGAAAGCAGAGGACTCAGACACGGAGATTACAAAAGCAATCAAACCAAAGCCCCCACTCCACTGTCGTCAGTCGATTTCAGCTAATAACATCATTACAGAAGAAAGCAGAACTGCCCCTTAGGGTTTCCGAGGTTATAAATCTTTATGGAAATGACTACCTCATCTTACACCAGCAGAGTGGCTAGTGGATGTAACCCACCAACCTTTCAGTGACCAGCACAATGCTTAACCAACTGCACCACCAGGGCTGGTGTGGCACTTCAGGATAAGCAATGGACTGCTAACCACAAGATCTCTGGTTCAAACCCACCAGCTGCTCCTCAGAAATCCTATACAGGGTCACTATGAGTCAGAACTGACTCAATGGCACTTAACAATATACTATAAAATGGGCAATCTTTATGATAACTAAATCATCTCTCAACATTATTTTTTTGAAACTATTTATTGTGAATTGAGTGAAGGTTTACAGACAAGATCACCTGTTTTGTCTTCAACAAACCACACCCTTTGTTTTATCTCATGATTGAATCCCCTCCCTACAACAACAGTTAGCCCACTCCTCCCTGTGGGTCCTATTTCCCATCCACTCTCCTTCCCATCCCTTCTCAACTTTGTCCGCAGGTAAATGTTGCCCTTTTGATTTTGAATGGTTGACCATTCCATGGTGAGCATACCTTACTAGTGGTGCTGTACCCTCTATATATCTATCTACTGTTTGGCTGAAAATTGGGTCACAAGGGTGAGTTCTGTTTCATACCTAAAGGATGGACAAGGGTGATAGTCTTGGGTTCCTTCAAGTCTCTTTCTGACCAGTAAGCCTGGTTTTTTAAATACTCTTTTGTTTTGTTCCACATTTCTTCCAGTTTATCCAGACCCTTCTAATGGGATCCCTTTTCAGAGCAGTTGGTAGTGGTAGCCAGGCACCATCTAGCTCTTCTGGTCTGTCATGGAGGCCGGTGTTCATTTGTTCCATTGGTCTACTGGACTAGCTGACTCCAGCCATCTTTAATTTTCATCACTTTTCTTTCTTCCACACATGGAGAGACCAAGAGGTGCACCTTAGATGGCCTCTCAAGAGCTTTTAAGACCCTAGACACTACTTACCAAAGTAGGATGTAGAACGTTGCCTTAGTGGACTATGAATAGCATTATTTTCTTAAAAGGCAATTTAAAGCTTATGTTCTGGCTAAGCTTAACTGGCCTATGCAGACAAACGATAGCAGACCAGACTAGGTGGGCTAAGTCACACTGCTGAGACGCCGGGAAAAGGGGGGGCCCAGTAGTGGTTACAAGTCGGGCTACTAACCTCAAGGTCAGCAGTTCGAAACTACCAGCTGTTCCGCGGGAGAAAGATGAGGCTTACTGCTCCCGTAAAGATTTACAGCCTTGGAAACCCTATACAGGATCACTACGAGTGGGACCCAACTCCACCAACCAACCAACCAACGCACTAGACTGCAAAGTCGGCTTGAACCGTAAGGTCGGCAGTTCAAGCTCACCTCGCAAACTTTATACAAGGTTACAACCGACTCAATAGCACTAAACAACAAATCTCAATGAACAAACCATGGAGAAACATTTTGACTTCAAGCTATCATTAAACGAAAGTGGTTAAAAAAAAAGGTGAAGAACCAATGAGAAATAGACTAAACTGTAGAAAAAGCTTCAAAAAGATTGTGGCGAAGTCCCAGTATCTTTTCATTCTATTTGTCCTTTTTGAAGACCACTTTTATTTTGTTTTGTTTCCTTAAATATTGTTTTCAAATTATAGAAACATACCATTAGTAGATCTTTTCAATAAATCAAGGATCAATAATAGTTCAGTATTGACAATTAAAAAATCCTAGTAAAAATCAGTGCCATAGTCACAGAGGACTAGAGTGGAGAGTCAAGCGTCCAGCTGATAAGAAGAGGGGGCATATTCATAAGAACACCCACACTTGCAGATAATACCCACTTGACCTGGCTTCAATGACTGGATGATCAGAGCTCAATTAGAAAAAGAAAGAAGAGGAAAAATAGAGTAATCTGATACAATTTGATGAACCTGACCTACACCTTTAGATGCAGTAGCTCAAAAGAGGGAGCAAATGTTTACAGCTAGAATCATTCCCACCCCCCACCCCCTCCCATACACAGAAGAGACAGGGATGGGCAACTTGGACATTGTTGCTGTTGTTGTTAAGTGCCGTCGAGTCGGTTCCGACCCATAGCGACCCTGCACAGGGTTTCCGAGGCTGTAAATCTTTACGGGAGCAGAAAGCCTCATCTTTCTCCTGCGGAGTGGCTGGTAGTTTCGAACTACTGACCTTGTGGTTCGCAGCCCGATTCTTAACCACTACGCTACCAGAGCTCCTTATTGGCTACCCAAAATGGGGGGTGGGGGGCGCTACAAAGGCAAGAAGTGACTGGCTTACAAGCTCTCAAGAGGGTGCCTAGATCCAGAGGGCGAAGAGGAAGGTAGAATCTCCACTGAGTAGTATCTAATCTGTCTGGGCGGGGCTGATGAAAGGAGATGGGGATAGGACTCCTGTGGTACAATAGTAAATAATTGTTATCAGGACTGACTGTGAGGGTTGGAAATGCAAAGGTAGACGTTTTGTAGCAAAAGGAGAGGGGTGACTGACTTTACAGTCTAGGAGCAGAGGTCCCTGGGACCATCAAGGGAGAAGAGAAACAGTGATGCCAGAGATGGAGGCAGAGACAATGACGTGGAGAGATGGAGTGGCTGGGGACTCTAGACCCAAAGAGGGAGAGGGGCTGTGTGTTCACCACCAGGGGCCAGGCTTGCAGGGTATATATCCTTTGGTTGGTTGATGATGCATGGAGGGCTTGTAACCATGGCAATGAAATGATATACGATAGGATGAATGTAAAGCTAATGTTCTCCCATGTAAACTACCACATAACTCACAAAAAAAAACACTAAAAAAAAAAAAATTCTGGTAAAAAGTTGGATATGGTTGGGTTATACTGTGAGTGCTTAAAGTGTGGAAAATCTAGTAAAGTAAACGGTGAGAGAGTACAACCCTGACACACACCTTTCCTGATTTTAAACCACTCAGTATACCCTTGTTTTGGAAAGCATGGTAGCTCTGTAGGATAAGCACTGGACTTCGAACCAGCAGCTCTGTGGGAGAAAAATAAAGCTTTCTGCTCCCGCAAAGATTTATAGCTTCAGAGACCTATACAGGGTAGCTAACAGTCAAAACTGATTTGATAGCACTTAACAATAAAGCCCTCTTGTTCTGTTCAAATGACTACCTCTTGATTGTTGTTGTTATGTGCTATAGAGTACATTGCAACTCATAGCGACCCTGTATAAGGTTTCCAAAGAGTGGCTGGTGAGTTTGAACCGTCAAATTTGTGGTTCAAACCAACCTTGCGGTCTATTAGTAGTAGTTACTTCTTAAAATGCTCCATAATCACAGTTAAGTAAAATTCTAGCATTTTGTGATTGATCAATGTCATTAAATTAGAGCACAGAGTCTACCATATCCCAAGGGTATTAGGTTGTTGTTGTTGTTGTTGTTGTTAGGTGCCATCGAGTTGGTACCAACCCATAGCGACCTTATGCACAGCAGAATGAAACACTGCCCAATCCTGGGCCAACCTCATTAGTTTGCCACGCTTGAGTCCATCAATGATGCCACTTGGCTAATCCATCTCGGTGGGGGTCTTGCTCTTTTTCTCTGACCCTCCAACTCACAGTGACCTGTAGAGGGTTTCAGAGGAGCAGCTGGTGGGTTTGAACTCCAACCTTGTTGATTAGCAGTCCTGTGCTGATCTAACAGCGCCACATCAGGACTTTCCAGTGTATTACGTTGTTGTTGTTGTTAAGTGCCACAGAGTTGGTTCCGACTCACAGCAACCCTGTATAGGGTTTCCGAGGAGCGGCTGGTGAACCTAAACCACCCTTAACCCTTTTATTGATATCACATCATTATCATCATATAATTGCTACATTACATCACTAAGTAACTACCTAACCACTGAGAATCAGGGCCTAGCCTGGTTGACACGTATTTCGGGGGAGGAACATAATTCAATCCACAACAACAATCATACCCTTGCCACACTGAAAATACTTTCACTCCATTATATTATCCCCAAATTCTTCTAAGTCCAAATCCCAACCTGGGACAAAATTCTTCATCTGTGAATCCAGAATACAAGTTGTCTGCTTCCAAATACAATGGTGGAACAGGTATAAGGTAGACATTTCCATTACAAATGGGAGCCATTGGAGGAAAAGAAAGGCTAATGATTGGGCACCAAACAAGTGAAAAAGCCAGCAGAACAACTGACATTAGTTCAGTCTTGGGTCTCTGCTGCTGCTTCTCAGGGTTTGCTGGTGTAACAGCTCTCCGCCCTTCCTTCTGGGCTCTCCTCAAAATTGCCTTTGACATCCATAATCCCAGCAACAGTCTCTCTGGTATTCCACCATTGTTGTTGTTCTTAAGGGCTGCCAAGTTGGTTCCAACTCAGTAACCCTGTACAGGGTGTCTGAGGAGCAGCTAGTGGGTTTGAACCACTGAATAACTTGCAGTTAGCATCCAGTGTTGATCCTACAGGGTCACACCGGGACTCCTTTAGGCAATCTAGACTTTGATTATTAGGCAGCTTAGTACCCTCCAGCCTCTGGTCATTTAAGGTATGGAGTTAAGGATAAACAAAACACTTCCTCATCTTTGTTATGTGTTAAGGCAGTACCCACCCCACTCTCCTGGTATCAGACTCTGCTTTAGTTCTTCTCTAGCGCTGCTAGAACAGAAACATCCTGAGTGGATGGCTTTAGCAAACTGAAATGTGTCCTCCCTCACACAGTTAGGAGCGTAGAAGTCTGAATCCAGAGCACTTACTCTAAAGCAAAGTCCCTGTCTCCTTTCAGCATGTGAAGGCCCAGCATTCCTGGGAGATCTCCATGTGTTTTGGTATCAGACTGTCGCTGCATGTAGGAGCCTCACAGCGCAGGGACCCCAGGTCCAGGGAAGGCACATTAACTGCCACATGACATCGTTACATAGCTGCCGCATCACTGAGAATCATGGCCCAACCATGCTGACACATATTGTGGGAGGAATCCATGAGAGCAGCAGAAAGTTTCATCATCGTGCCATCAGGGTGTCTTATGATGAAATGACATGCAAAAGTGTCCAGCAAGAAATACTCCAGAGATTACAGTTGTGACTGTCAAAGTCGTTCACATTCTATGGCAGAGTTTTTTTTGTTTTGTTTTGTTTTAATAAAACCAAATTGAAAAAAAAAACACACAAACCTCACTGCTATCTAATCAACTCTGACCCACAGCAAACCTATTAGACAGAGTCGAACCTGCAGAGCGGCTGGTGAGATCACCCAGGTAACTTTTCGGTGAGCAGCCCAACACTTAACCTACTCTGCCATCAGGGCAGCTCTCAGAACTTAGGGAGGTTATCCGTCACCTACTAACTCTATGCCATTGGACTGGGAAGAAAACTCACACCTTTCTCACTCTTCTCATTGTTCAAACCTAACTTTAAAGTCCTCCATTTTATCTTTTAGCATTTCTAGAAAGCCTGATCTCATTTGAATACTAATCTTTCCTGTCTGTATTCTCAGTGGTTCATGTCATTCTTTTCTTAGTCATACTACTACTGCCCAATTTTGGTCAATGTCTTCTTTCTACTTGAGCCCCTTAGAAGCATACTGATGTCCTTGTCATCGTCAAGTCAAGATGGTTCGGACACACCGTGACCCTGTATAAGGTTTCTGAGAAGTGGCCGGTGAGCCCGAACCACCAACTTTGCAGTTCAAACCGACATTGCAGTGCTGCGCAATAATCCACAGCACCACACCAGGACTTCTTATATAATTCCTCCTTTGACCTTTCTAGGTTAGACTATGTTTCTTGTGACTCTTGAACCAATTTTGCTTTGTAGACTCTATAATCCATGAAGTTTTTCTTATTATTTTTCCAACATAAAACATAAATTCTACCCAGTATTCCATTCCTTAATGATCACATACTTGAAGTCGATAGAGAACTACTCTCTCAGGATTACCAGGGGCACTCTCAATGAGGATTCCTTAGCATTCTCCAGATCTCCTGAAGGTGAAAGCTTTGCAGGCCCAAATAAAAACATTCTACAGCACTGTAGACAAACTTAAAACAGAATATTCCAATTTACAGCTCAGAGCTACACAGTATACCAGAGTCCTATTACTCTGCTGAATAAGGTCTTACAATGGATAATTCTTTTGATGATAGACTTTCCCAGATTACAATTTTGCTCTGAAGTAGATTTTAAAGATGAAAGCGATTTCCACAAGTTCTGGTGAGTTTTCTCATTTGTAAAGGTTTTCTGAGAAAGAACTGGAATACTTTATTCCCAGATTTGATCTATAAAGTTGGGCTGCTCTATACTTGATCTAGGTTTGTCTCTTTTCCTAAAGTCCAAAACAACTAATTTCGGTTACTTAAACTGTGATTGTCTTCATGGATTCGGTCCAAATCTTCAATAGAATGCTGATTCACACCAAGTTAGAACTGGATTTGAGAGATGCCCTTAAATTACAGAAATTAAGTGTCTTGCTTAAACTCAGGGTCCATTAGCAACTGAGAATCAGAATAAATTCTTCTCTTAGGCCTAGCAGTATTTTACTCCAATATAAAAATAAATCTAAGATTGCGATAATTATTTAATGATTTTTCATTTGGCTTCCTGAGGGCAAACCCACTGTATAACTCAAAAGGCATTTTCTATTCATTTCTTGAGTGTTACACGCATTTCTAGCATTCCCAGCATAGCGGTATTCTCTATCCTGCGACCCTTGACGTTGCTTTAGTAAATCTTTGAGGAGGAAGTCACACTACATCTATGAACTTTAGAATGAAAACTCCGGAGAGGCGGACACGAAGTGGATACGTGTGAAGATCCATCTTTACAACTCTTTCCAAAGGTAATGGAGAGTGAAGAAAAAGGCAATCAGCAATAATGACTGGAAATAGTCACCGGAGACTGCTGGTTGGTCACTAACGATTTTTAATGCTAGATAGGTATAGTAAGAAACTGAAGGATCCAGGAGCAAGCAGAGGGGAATCGACTCCCAGCGGCTCAGACCGCTGGCAGCCAGGCCTAAAGAACCTCGCAGTGCGCACGCGCGACCTCGGCCTTTGTACTGGGGCCACGGCGTCTAAGACCCCAGCGTGCGTGCGCGCGCGCATCCGTCCGCCCGCTCACCCGCAGGCCCCGCCGCGAGGGGCGCTGGGGGAGGGGCGGTGCTCCGGGACGACCTTACCTGCCCGCGTTCTCCGCTTCCATTCCCTGCTGCCGCTGGCGTGAGCGGCTTCTCCAGCTAGACAAACGAGTCTTTGTGGTACGTCTGCGTACGTACGGAGGAACGACAATAACCAGGGACTTGGCCCCGATTACTGGAAGAACTGGGGCAATAGCTAGCGCTCAAACTCCTCCCCCAAGCTTCTAGTTCCCCCCTCACCCCAACAGGTCCACGCAGCCCCCCTTCACAAGGAGTTTCCGCCTGTACAGAGCCAAATCCCACGCCTTGCGGTTATCACGTGACACAAGACAGCCCAATCACGTTCGTTCCCCGTGGTTTTTCTTTTTCTTTTTTTTCTTCAGCTTCGCCGCTGGGACTTTCGGGAAGGGTGGAGGACAAAAAGTGACGGGGGAACAGCTCAGCTGGCGTCAGCGTTTGTCCGCCATAGACGTGCGCGGTTGGGTGTGACGTGATCATGACCTCTGGGGGCGCTGTAGTTATCAGGTTTTGGCTGGCTTTGTGCAGTGGAGTCGGTTCCGACTCATAGCGACCCTGTACAGGATTTCCAGGATTTAAATCTTTACGGGAGCGGAACGCCTCATCTTTCTCCCCCGGAACAGCTGGTAGTTTCGAACTGCTGACTTTGTGTTTCAGAGCCCGATTCGTAACCACTACGCTACCAGAGTTCATTGAGACCTTTATTCGGTCTTTTCCACTTCAAATTCTATCCTGATTGTGAACAATTTTTTGCATCAGTTATTTTGCCACTATCATTTTGGACCTCGGTTTCTTAATGTGTAAAACAGCTATGTAAAATGTAAAGCTCTGCATAGATGTTATTGTCTGCTTTACTATGGATATGTAAAAATGTTAACGTTTGAAGTCAATGATTATTATTAAGTGGGGTCGTTCCCACCCTTAGTGACCTTGTTTGGAGTTTCCAAGGAATGCCTGGTGGCTTTGAACCGCCAAACTGGCCAGTGCTTATCCAAAAGCGCCACATCAGTAAGTATAGGATTGTTGTTGTTGTTAAGTGCCGTTGAGTCGGTTCCGACCCATAGCGACCCTGTATAGGGTTTCCGAGGTGTAAATCTTTACGGGAGTAGAAAGCCTCATCTTTCTCCCGCGGAGCGGCTGGTAGTTTCGAACCGCTGACCTTAAGGTTCGCAGCCCGATTCGTAACCACTGCCATTCAACCCCTCTGATTCTAATTTTCAACAGGGCTTTAAATTAAATTTCTATCATTGATATTTGCACAAGACTTAACGTTTAGTGGAAATAGACTTTTCTGGCTGTTGTATTACAATTAGTTTTCCCTACTTTATTCCATGATAACAGATAACTCCAAAATTTCAGTGGCTTGCAACACAACAAAAGTTTATTTTTCACTGGTAACATGTTGTTGGGAGATGGTTGCGGCTTCTTGTTCTGTAAGTTCCTTGTGTAATCTTTATTCGAGGGTCCAGGAAAGGGCTTTCATGGGTACTTACAGAAAGTTTCATTTGTATGATATGATTGTTTACAATTTAAATGAAACCTTTTTAAGGTTTACAGAACTTTTACAAATACTCTCTATAGGTGGGTACTCTGCCGTTTAGAGCCCTATAAGTGCTGTGGAGTTGACTCCGACTCATAGCAACCCAGTGCACAGCAGATGGAAACTCGGCCCAGTTTGAGTCCATTGTGGCCGCCTGGTTCTGACAGCTCTCTGTTGATGTGCTGCTGCAACCATTTTGATTTATCTTCAGCAAAAAGCTACTTACATGGGATATTGACACTGCCAGTCTCTTCTCATTGGGGTCTTCCTCTTTTCACTCACCTTCTACTTTACCTAAGGAACCCTGGTGTGGTGCTGTATGATAAGCGTTGAACTACTAATTGCAAGGTAGCAGTTCAAACCCACCAGGTGCTCCACTAGGAAAAAGATGAGGCTTTCTGCTCCTGTAAAGATTTACAGCCTTGACAACTCTATACAGTCTTGCTGTGAGTCACAAAAGCCTCATGGCAGTGAGTTTGGTTTAGAGTTTCTACTTGACCAAGCATGACTGGTCCCTGCTGATAAAGTGTCCAAAGTCTCACCATCCTGGCTTCTAAGGAACAGTCTTGCTGCACGTCTTCCAACACAGATTAGTTTGTTCTTCTGGCAGCCATGGTACTTTTAATATTCTTCTCCAACACTATAATTCAAAAGCATCGGTTCTTCTATGGTTTTCCTTAATCATTTTCCAACTTTCATATGCATATAAGGCAATTAAAAATACCATTGTTTGGGTCAGGAGCCTCTTAATTCTCAGTAACATCTTTGCTCTTAAACACTTTAAAGAGAGGTCTTTTTGCAACAAGCTTGCCCAATGCAATACATCATTTGATTTCCTGACTGCTGCTTCCAATAGCATTGGTTATGGATCCAAGTAAAATGAAGTCCTTGACAACTTAAATCATTTCTTTGTCCATCATTAATGATGTCTATTGGTACAGTTCTGAGAATTTTTGTTTACACTGAGTTGTCATCCATTCTGGAGGTTGTAGTCTGATCTTGATCAGCAAGTGCTTCAAGTCCTCTTTGCTTTTTCAGCAAGAGAGTTTGTGTCATCTGCATGTCCCAGTTTGTCAATTAAACCTTCTTTCAATCCTTATGTCACATTTTTCATATAGTCCAGTTTCTCAGATTATCTGCTCAGCATACAGATTGGATAAATATGGGGAAATCATACAACCCTGATATATGACTTCACTGATTTTAAACCACGCAGTAACCTCTTGTTCTGCTTGAATGACTG